TTAAAAAACAGCTGAATGAGCTGAGGGCAGACCCGGACAGACTGTTGGGGGAACTGGGAATTTTCTCGTGGCCTGCCTGCTGACTGGCTGGCCTGCTCAGCTGGTTAAAAGTTTCGGTCGCTCTACAACTTTTAAATAAACTATTTGGTGTGGTCAACGTGCCTCGTCAGACCTGCTGCAGGTCCAGGAGTCCGATACMGAGAYGCGCACACAGTGCAGACACACAACATGGTGATGAATTSTRGTGCTCCTGGAGCTGCAGCAGGTAAYGTCRGCCTCATTAWCAGAACATCCAACTTTTGATCAAACTATTCTTTACAAAGAACCAGAAACAAGTCCACAGAACAGCTGTTATTCTAATGAAAAGTTAGCTTGCTGCTACAGTCACATATAAATGTTAGTGATCACTTTTAGTGATAGCATTTCATCTATTATTGAGTTGCTTTTAATCAGTTATAAACTGTATTTTAATCCTAAGATTGAGTCCAAGTCCACTCTGATATTTACTGATTATAATTTACATTCATAAATCACCAAATATTTCTGTTATTTAGTCTACCTGCTTCAGTACACCTGTATAATATAATTAATTTCCCTCTGGGATCAATAAAATATTTTTGAATTTAATTAAATACAGTAAAGCTTATAAATATTATAGTAGTACATTTTTATTTTCTTCGGAAGAATAAATTCATCACATTAAAAAAGTTCAAGTTTCTTAGAGTTTCTRTATTTTCTGCATAAAAACAGTGAAATGATGCAAAGAACAAATAGTGATCAGGTATTTATTTGTGTTATTTCATGATATTTTCTGGAGTTTTTAAAGCTGACTGACTTCAGGTGGCAGTAAAAACCTAATAATCTATCTTCATGTCTGTTGATGTAGGAGCTGGATACAGAGGCAGAGGCAGCAGGTATGTCTCAGGTAAGAGATGAAGGTGATGTGCAGATGTGAAGGAAATATAAAATGTTATTTTGAGTACATTCTAGTCAGCTGTGTGAACTTAATGTAACAAATTACTGATCTAAATACATTATCTACAGCATGATTAAGTTTCATTTTTATTTTGACCAGTATAAAAGTGAAAGGCTTATTACTTTCATTTCTAGGAAGTTGTAGAAATTAGTTTTCATAGTTCAGATTTTCTTGGTTAAATAAAGGTCAGTAAATAAATCTTGTCAATCCATCCATCATTAGCTTTCTAATCATTTCCAAACATCCATGTATCAATTGTTCTTAATTTACATGCAGGTTGATGAAACTGACACAAGTTATTTGTACGTCACCATTCTTTGACACAGTGTTATTTTATGTTGTGAAGAAAGCTGCATGATGTCATGTCAGTTTATGAGTGGGCCTGTCATCAAATCAGAAAAAAAGTCAAACGCTCCTAAATTCACTGTTGGTAGTTATAATAATTACAACGGTTTATTGGATAAAGTTATTAAAGTTTTAAGTTTGAAACATGCAGTTGTGTGTCATCACTGTTTGGCACAATATGTTGTGTTATAAATAAGATTAAATTAATAATAAACAAAATAAATGTAAAAACCTCCTCTAAGCCTGTTTGAGATAAACTATCACATTAAATTAATTCTCTGAGCCATAAGTGAGTTTAAAAACAGGATGATGAAGAATCTGTCTCTAGTTGTCTAATTAAGTCTTTATTTGTGTAAGTAAAAGTATATTTAACAACCTGTTAAAATACATTAGAAATCAGGAAATAGCTTCTACTTTATTCAAATTTTTCTGGGGGAGGACCCCCAGACCCACCTCCAGTGTGTCCTTTACACACATTACAAGTTTTCTGTTGCCCCTGTTAGAGAGGATAAACACACCTGTAGAGCTCCACCTGTGTGTCTGTATGAAATTATGGCTGATTATCAAAYTGTATTCTTAGTGAGTTTAAAGGACTGGTACACTACATGGTTTAATAAAGGTGAACATAATCTCAGTTAACATGGTTTGAGTATTATTGCATCACAAAAGAAACATTTGGTGTTCAGTTTATGACGTGTGCAGACAGTTAAACTGAGCACACGTCACGTACCAAATGTTTGTCTAAAGTTCAAGAATAAATGTTTTTAAATCAAATTTTGCTATGGTGTCATGGATCACAACATTAGTACACAAACCAGATGTAGCAAAAATGTTTTAGGTATTTGAACACAGGTAGACCAAATGCATCAATTCAGCTGGTGAATGAAAGAACCACTCATCAATATAATCTGATCTGATTGTAGCTTAAAACCCTCGTTATGCTTCTTTATTCAAAAGAATAATGCGCCCCCCCCCCTTTTTTTTTTACTTTACTTATGCACCTTGTGCACTGGCATGGATAGAGGCCCACTGACATCGAGAGTGTATAGGGCCCAGAATTTGGCGCTACACCCTGAGGGGAGGAGGTTGGGGGTATGTGAAGTATGTCTGAAAAATACATAATACCTTCCTTTTCAGTAATCATTCAACAGCCAGGTTTCACATTGTATTTTTGCAGAATAGTCCATTTGCATATTTCATTTGCATTACTGTTCTTTATTTTTTGTTTGTTTGTTTTATAGTTGTTGCCATGTTTGATATATAATACACTAAAATGGAAAATGAGCCAACAGAGTATTGTGTATTTTACATGATGGCAAATAAATGTTGAAGAACTGGGTTAGTCGCCTGCGTTTAATTCAGGCTTTCAGTTTGCACAGTTTTACAGGCAGTACTGTTTGCAGGCAGGTGAGATAAGAATAGCTGAGGATGAGGATGCAGAGAAAGAGACAGATGACGTTAATGGGAGGGTTATAAAGCAGCAGGAGCTGGTCCGTGTTCTGGTGTCCATGGCCAAAGTTTAGAGCAAACGGAAACTTGAGTTCATGACTCACTTCCTAAGCTTGGACAGAGAGGGATGCTGCTTATAGAGCGGGAAGCAAACACTCCCTCCAGGTCGACACACACACACACACACACACACACACACA